GTCAAGAGCTTTTCAAAACACTATAATGAAGTTATTTTTCATTAAGTACTTTTCGAGTTATAAGGCTTGTAAATTACAGTATTTTGACATAAAATACAAAATATCTTGTAAAACATTCAATTTTTGAGAATCTTACCTTAATACTTTTATGCATAAAATAATGAGACGAATCAATTGGTATAAAGAAAACACATTGGTTTTAAAAAAAAGTATGCAGTTGCAAATTATATATTTTTTTTTGAAAGCAACTATGAGCACGGCTGAGATACGACCGCTTACAGACTACGGTCGCTAGGCGCGCGGCGCGCGCGGCGCGCCTAGCGACCGTAGTCTGTAGGCGATCGTATCTCAGCCGTGCGTTCGCATTTGGTAATCTTTAATAATTAATATCTCTTTAACCCTTGTGAAAATTGTAAAATGGTAGAGGACTTTTTGGTTCAGTTTGGTCTGCTCTACCGGCATACGGCCGCTGTATCAAAATTTTTGGGACACCCTGTATAGAATGCTTAACTACTTTAACCATTCTCAGTTACGTTTTATTTTCCTACAATGTTGCGCATGCGGTTTTTTACGACAATTCTTTTAACTATGTGTTGTGTGCGTTATAACTCGTTAATGATTCTTTTCTCATAAATCATTCATTTTTTTACACAGGCATTTTAATACTTTATCTCGCTAGTAGTAATCTAGAACGATTGGATCAAAACATATTGCAGTAAGATTTAAAACAAAATATTATATTCAAAGGCCTCAATAGATAAAAATCAAAAGATCAAGTAAATAGCCGAACATTCTAGCGATGATAAAAATTGTAAATTAGTCCGAATACGTTTTAGATACAAATAGATTTTCATGTATTAATTATATTTTATGTTAACACTGAGGAAGATCTGATAGCAAGTTGAAGTGTTTGTTTTTGTAAATGTTTATCTAATATATACGCATGACCACTTAGCATTGGCCTTTGGCTATTTAAATTGATCTTTGGAATAAGATTTAAGTTGTGAAAAATGTATTACGTTGTATTATGATTGCAAACTCAATGTGCATCGTATTTCAGTTTCTTGACATTTATTCTAGACATTTATATTTCTTATAAGACATTAAATTGTACGCTATTAAATTTTTTAATCATTTTTCTGCATACAAATCAGTTTTGCGCCACAGTCAGGAAATAATTACACGAGAAAAACATCTCGTACTAAGTCTTAAAATTGATAAAACAGAAAACATGATGCAAAGTAGTACAGTAGTTACAAAAGAATGTATTGATACAGCAAATTTTACGATGTTCTCGCAAAATATGTTATATGAACAGCAAAGAGATTTGTTACGGAAATTTTATTTGCTGCAAATACTTTTGTTAATCTGCTAAATTCGCAAATTAAATTATGTCGCTATTAGCGACATAAATTAATTTGCAATAAATTAACAAATTAATTTTTAATAGTAACATTTTTTTCCGCGCATATGAATATTAGAAGAGAGAATACAAAATATTTATATTTATATTTTAGACTTAAGGAGGCAAAGATAATTTTATCTTATCTTGTATAAATTCTTTGATAAAGCAGTTATGATAGTGCATTAAATTGAAGTATTACACAGTGCGGTTCATAATACCCGGACTGATTTTTTACGTACAATACTAAAAATTTTATATCAAAAATTACTATGTACGGTAGCTGCGGACCGTGAAGAAATTATAAAAATTTTTACTATGTTTTTCACATGTGAAACATAATAAAAATGTTGGGTCCGCGGCTTCATGGTTCGCGGTTACTGCTGTACATAGTAATTTTTGATATAAAATTTTCTTCGTGCGTGCGAGTCGACACAGCGTTCATCGTCTTCTATCGATTCTTTGCCATCGCGAAAACGACCGTACCACTCAAACACTGCTGCACGTTTTAAAGGTTTATACATATCCGTACCGTATCCGTACCGTGTCCGTACCGTACCGGCAAGATTCGATATGAGTATTTACACATATCCGGCTCGCATCCGTGAATGTTTTGAAACATCAGTCTTGAGACATACATCTGACTGTGAACATAGCAGAGCTATCGATAAACGAATTAGCGGTAATAGCATTAATTTTAGACGAAGAGGAATCTTCGAAAAAAAAAAAGAAAACGGACTTTATGGGTTCATAAAGCATGGAAAAAACGAAAAACGGAAGGTGAATTTGTCACATTATATAAAGAATTGGTTGATGATGCAACTAAATTTTATCAATATTTTCGAATGTCAGAACATACTTTTAATGTGTTACTAAATTTAATTGATCATAAAATACGAAAACAATATACAAGATGGAGAGAACCGATTAAACCAAGAGAACGATTAGCGATTTGCCTAAGGTAAGAATATAGAAAATGCATCTCTATATTAATTAATAGATATCATTTTATTAATTTTAGCTTTTATATATTATTTATTAATTTTAACAAAATTTATCATAAACAAAATATTAATATATCAATTTTTAATAAACAAAATATTTGAGATAAATATGAGTCAAATAAATATGAAATAAAATGAACGTCCAAAATTTAAAAAAAGTTATAGTTATAAAAAGTTATAGAAAGATAGATATGTTAATATTCTGATGTTTCTGAAGTGTCTTGTGTATTCGGTCGACATTGTCGCAAAGCTGGAAAATTATAATATTGAGATGTTGAAGATGATGTGGGTATTGGCGAATGTAATGGTGCCAATGGCGATGTTGTATGTATAGAAGATGGTGTTGCAGAATAATAGTCAAAAATGTTTGAATATTGTCTATTGTGTGCTTGTGATTATCTTTGTTGCTCCATTATTTCGTTTAATTCAATCTCCTGGACAATTGAAAAAATTTTGCTCTTTGCCATGTTAAGTGAATATGGACTAAGATTTTTAAGAGTGGGAGCAAGTCCATTAAGAAAAGCGTCGACAGGGTGGACAGTTTGTACAATGTCTTTTTTTCATTTTTTTCCATTATATACTTCATTAAAGTGGATGAAGCACATTCTACAGATTTTGGCTGCTTTTTTCTTTGCAATGATATGGGCTTCCGTTTTATGGGATCAGATGTTTCTTGTATTTCGTTATCTTCATTGGAAAATGTATCAACTATAATTTCATTATCGTCATCTGAAGTCTCTTGTGTTTCCATATTTTCGTTTATTACGTTGGAAATAGTATCGCGTTCCTTTAAGAAATTAGTCAAAAAGTTTAATTGGTCTTCGTATTTGTATTTATTAATTTTTTTAGCAGATTGGCCACTTGTTGTTACTTTTTTTTTTAAAGATTTTTGAAAATTATCTCTTATGTTACTCCATCGAGTCTTACAGATAATAATAATAATAATAATAATATAGCTTAACGGGGGGGCGTTCCTCTTTCGAAGCGCCGCCCGTGGCACCCAGA